TGTTTCCACCAAATGACTTTTCTCTCAAATTTACTTCCCAAAGGACAATTTACCAAACGGTATTTACTTTTTGTGAAAACACTTAAAGTCCTTTTCATTTCCCCAGAGGTTTCCCCAAAAGCGCACGAAACGCAGCCTACATCACTCCGAAAGAAGAAAAAGCTCATTTGAATATGAATACCAACTCTCTGCCAAACCATAAGAAGGGCGATGTAGATATGATGTAATTGGTTGAGAAGTATGAACAGGAACTAAGGATCAATAAATTGGATCTTACTCAGCCAGTCCTCTTATCCGCAAGGTATGCGCTCTTGAGATATGATCGATGATCTCCTAAAGAAAGAAATTAAGAGAATGAATATTCAATATTATTCAAATGGCAAAAAAAGATTATGAGGTTTGAATGGCCATGCTTCTAGTGATTGAATACACTTTGATGAAGTTGCTAATAATCACTCCACCTCAGCCATTCATTTATTGGTTAGATAAGCAAGTGTCATGGAAGTTCAAAGGCAAGTTTGGGATAATATTAAAAAAATTCCCAAACATACGCACTTATACCAATTCAATCTTAAACATTTTAATTTGGTCAATTTAGTCTTAAATCTTTTGACAATTTGTCAATATATGTCAATTTTGGCTAAAAATCGTTGACATGGATACTGGCTGTCTTAAGTTGCATGGCCAGCATTGACGTAAACAAATTTTGCAATTTTAAAATATTATTTCTGATTTTTTTCTTTTTTCCATCTTTTCTTTTCTTTTCTTTCTTTTCGTTCTTTTTAATTTTTTAAATGTGGCTGACGAGGGTGTCATAGCCCTCGCAGAATGGGGTGAGGGCGTCTCGGCCCTCACTTGTGGCCAAGGACCTCTGTGGACCGGCAAGGGAAATAAGAGAAAAAGAAGAAGTAAAAACAAAAAAAATAAAAAAATTATTAAAAATTATTCAAGTTAGCGCCGGTTGTCCATACCACGTAGGACGACTGGCATCCACATCAGCGATTTCCAATCAAAATTGGCCGGATGGACTACATTGACAAATCATCAAAAGGTTCAGGACTAAATTGGCCAAATTATAAAGGTTTTAGATTGAATTGGCACAAGTACAATATATTTAAGATTTTTTTGGTAATTTCCCTAGCAAATTTGTGACCTTGCTGAAGTTGGAGGGATGACAAGATCAGCAAGATACTTTCAATAGAAAATTTTGAAAAAAAAAGAGGCAAGCCGTCGTTAACTTTTACATTTGAAAGAATGTACCTAGGAAGCCTATGGGAAAAATAAAAGCAACCGAATTTTTAAGGTAATTAAGTTGATCGAGTACAATATAGCGAGTCAACTGAAAACGATGTCCGCTCAGATTTTCCTGTTAAAATTAGTTCTAGCCTCCGAGAAGCACTGGAATGCCCTGATCAACGTTCCACATGAAGCCCATGTACCAGAGGAGATTCCTACTAAACGTTTGGAGAATCTTGTAGGATCTGTTCTCTCAACTGCTGAAATCGCTTTTTCCGAAAAGGAGCTTAGCTTTGATTGCACTGGACATGAGAAGGCACTACATATTATAGTGAGATGTCAAGGGATAAATGTCGCCAAAGTTCTCATCGACAATGGTTTTGCTCTGAATGTTTGTACGATGACCACTTTGGACCATTTTGGAGTTGACAAGTCTCATGTGAGAGCTACCGAGATGTTGATGTGAGCCTTTGATGGAACCACCTAAAAATTCATAGGAGAGATCAGTCTAGACGTCGAAATTGATACGTGCATCTCTCATATCACCTTTCACGTGCCAAGTATCCTCAATGCTTTCAACATATTCTTGAGGAGACCTTAGATTCATTTAACTGGAGTTATACCTTCAGGTCTCCACCAAAGATAAACTTTGTGGTTGACGGTAGAGTGATAACAGTCACTGGAGAAGAAGCATATCCATGTCTACAAACACACCTAACATATGCTGAATCGATGCCGATAGAGACACTTCCTCTCAGTTTCTAGACTCTCAAGCTCGTATCCATAGTATGTGCCCCAAAGGGGTCCTTTCCCCCGAAACTGCAACTCTCGACCACCGCTTTGATGACCGCTAAGGAGATGATTCGTGAGGAACACGAGCCTAGAATTGAATTGAAATTAAAGGGAATGGTCAATCCAATTAAACCAAGGAACATATAAGTAGGACCTTCGGCCTGGGTTTCAAGCCATCAAAGGAGGAAAAGAGGGAGATGAAGGAAAACCTGAGAATGAGAACGATGAGGAGAATGATGGGAACTACTGTTGAAGAGGCCAAGCTTATGATTTCGCCACTTTAATTGACTTTCCCAAAGCCTACTCATGTTCAGAACCTAGGAGAGGACGAGGAGGTTGCTGACCCGGCCATTCTAGTCGAGGAAACATCCTCAACGCCATCAACGGGGAAGGGACCATGTCGAACAGCCTACCTCCACCCTCGACTAGATCTGCATTCCCTTTGGTACTTATGAGTTGCATGTCGTATCGATTCATCTCGTTTGCCATGAACTCACGGATCTAATATGGGATTGTAAATGGCCTACGTTCTTAATAAATTCTACTTTTAATAAGGGCCAAACCTGTCAAACAGGTGGATGGGGTCAGATTTGGGTTGGTTGAAAATAGTCCGACCCAAATAAATTAATTTAACCCGTTTTGATTCCATGTAATGCAAATTTAGTGATCCATATCCGATATATATTGCTAAAACACTTCCATATTTAACCAAATCCACGAAAACTCATGCCTTAATTAAGGTGAAAGTTCGAAGTGAGTGAGCGCGGAATCGAATGAGAACGAGAGAGAATGAGAATAGAGTTATAGAAGTGGGTTGGATTTAAATAAGTTGTAAACCCATTTATGAGCTATTTATTAAATATAACTAACCCATTTAACACTCATATGCGTTAAGAAATGAGTTTATAACTCATTTTTTACGGTCTAATAAGGGCTTTCAACAATTATAAGGAAAGAATTTAGGAAACTTTTTTCACATGGTTTTCCAATAAAAACTCAAAGTGTAAGCAACACAAATGGCGGCGACTGAATGCACATGAAAATCTCGATCTCGAAGACGGGTCAGAAAGTAATTTAATTTCCTTTTGCTTTTTATGTGTCCAAACAAACAATTTAATGTCTTATAAATTAACCCCTTGGGTTACAAAGTTTAAAGAGTCTGGTACTTCTTCCCTAACTCATGCAGTAAATTGCCTCAAATCCCACTTTATATTTAATTTGGGCTTCACTATGATCAATAGTAATTTGGACATATAATATCAGCGTCCAGTACTTTGGAGTTCAATTTTTCTTTTCTAGAAAGTACTAATAGAATTATATTATCTTTGGGAATATATTTTGACGGAGTTCGATGTTCTAACATTAAAAACTTATCTCCAACAACTATTATTTAAAATTAATTCGACGATTAGCATGCTAAATGCATGACGCGTTTGAAGTGGTAGCTTAACTAAACAGATTTTATTAGACAATTCAATCAGAGTTTATTCGCATTTTTAATATATTAGCTACATGAACAGGCTTAGGTATACTTGGCATTTTGGTTAAGAAGATTTATATATTTATGTCGCAATCGTGTCATGTCATTATCGTGTCGCATCAAATTTAAATTTAATTCGAAATAAACACTTGTATAAATCTTGTCATGATTCTAAAATCCAAACAATATATGTTAATTAGACATTTTAAAGCATATCGTAAATAGATTAAAATGATCAAACTGAAACTGCATGATTATTATTAGCATGCAAATAGACCAAACCTTTTGAGTGTTGACTACGATTTTAATCAACGCCAATGACATTTAACCACTTGTCTTGAAAACGAATACTTTCGGAAAATCTCAATCTTGAGGCATATTTTTCGTGTCCTGCTAACGAGTATTCTCACGAACACTTGTTAAATAAGGGTGATCATTAGGAGAGGCTTAGTCGAGCTGAGCTCGAAAGTTGGGCCTAATGTATTGCACAAAGCACCTATAACATTTTTAATTTACATATAAATGTTTAGACCAGGCCTGGTCAAAGTTAGGCATGCTAGCATTCTCGTGTGGGAGCATTGCCTAAGGCCGTCTGTCTGTCTTTCGAGCTTGGACGGGACGTTGGTCTATTGATCACTTCTAAGTATATAATTTACAGTACCTCAATACTCTAAATAATAATTTCAAAGAACACGAAGATGATAAGAAATGAGAAAATTATAAAATATTTTTGTTTAATTGCTAACGATATACTTGAGATATTTTTTAACTGAAATTTTTTTGCTTAATTCTATTTCTATGCACAGTTGGCTTCACTTCATCTTAGGTACTCAAGTCTAATAAAAAAAGGAAAAATTATAAATATCATCCTCAAATTGCTATCCACACGAATTATCTTGTTCGTATTTCAAAATCGAAAATTACCACTCTCATTTTTTGAATTGGATTTCAAGTTACATCTCTCATCCTTAATAAGTAATCTATCAAGTTGCTATTTTCTTTTTCTTAATATTGAATATCATTTTGCAAGTATAGATTTTCGGTGTGAGTAACTCCCCCAAAAGATAACTTTAATGTGGCTGATTTTTCCTCTTTTGCAATAAGTTTCGCTACGGCACCTGCTGCTCTAGCTAATTATCAACCATTTTCAAGCGTGATTTCTATGTTACGTAAGGCTGTGCCAAAAGCAATTTGATTGAATTAGATTCCTTTATTTTATCAATCAAAAACCCTCATAAAAAGTAGATAGCTCGTTTTAAGTGAGAGAAAGTTTTAAAATGTGACTTAGAATATTTAAGGGGCGAGGGAAGATAGTTTTTACAGATGTATTCTAGTAATCCAAGAAATGAGAATTCCCTCTTCCCGTGTCTGCGCGAGAGTCGGATATCATTACCGCCGCTCTCTGTCTCTGCCGCACATATATAGTCTCATCAAACAAAACCGACTTGCTTCACACTCTCTCGATCTCGATCCTCTCCAGTGTCTCCACCACCATCACCATCTTCTCTGCAACGCCACCCTCCAAACAAATGGCCATATCCACCATCCTGAACCCTGAAGCTCAGGAGTTCATCCCCCAGAACAGCTCCCTCCTTCTCCAATCTCACCCTCCTCCCTTCACTTACACCAACCTTGTCCTCCCTCCCTCAACCCCCATGATCAGCTTCTACAGCTCACCACCACCACCACCACCACCACCACAACCTTCGCCGTACTTCGCCTCCTCCACCCACTGCTACTACCAGTACCAATACTACTCTACCCTCCCTCAACCCCTCTTAGACCCTGAACAGCACCGTTTCTCCGTCAGCTACTCCGACTTCCATCCGCCGCCACCACCACCCCCATCGAACCCTTCCAAGCGATGGATCCGCGCCCAAATCAGCGTGGAGTTGGAGCCGGGACTAGGAGACCAGAAGCTGGCCGCAGGCCACCATCCCCGAGGCGGAGGACGTGGGAGGGGGCCCTGCAGTGGCCGGCGCTCTCCGCCGCGGCGCCACGGCGGTGGGGGAGGAGGACGAGGAGGGAATTTGGGGTCTCGCGGGAGGCGATTGGCGTGGAAGGAGGAGCTCTCGTCGCTGGGCGTCGTTAACAACACCAGTAGCGAAGAGGAGTACTGTTACAGCGTCGACACGACGACCAATATTCACAAGTACGCGAGGATCGTGGAGCCCCGAGAGATGGTGGGGAAGAGGAAGAAGCCGGTGTTGCCGGTCGACGAGGGCGGCGATCGCACCACCGTCATGATCAGGAACATCCCCAACAAGTACACGTACGTGCCGTTCTTGGAAACTTGCAGTCCTATCTACCCAAAAAGGATTGAAAAAGGAAAAAGAAATCAAAACCTGAAAGAGGTCTTTGTTCTTTAAAGACTTGCCAAAAAAAGAAGAATCAAGAAAAGAGAAAATCTGCATTAGGGTTGATTTGGGGGGGTTTGGTTGGATCGACTTGCTGCTGCTATTTCTACTTGTGAAGATCCAGTTTTCTTGGGTGTTGCTCATCATCAACTGATGATGTTCTTATATATCAAGTCGTGACATAACCATTTTTGGTTTATTATATAGTCTTTTGATGCACCTTGTTTGACCCCATTTTTGTTTGGTTGTGATCTGTGATTCCTTCATGCATGCCTAGTCGTGAATTGCTGGTCGATTTCTTGGACAAGCACTGCCAAATGGAGAACCAGAAGGCGGAGGCTGAGGGCGACGATGCTGTCATTTCCGCTTACGATTTTGTCTACTTGCCTCTTGATCTTAGGTACGCACACATAATTGAGTCCGACTCGAAAAGAGATGCATGGATACGTGAAGATTTTAGATGTACATGCTGTTTATTTTCTAATGTTTAATCATGTGCTTGAGGCAACGCTTGTTTTGCGATATGAGTACAAGCTATAATTAACTGGAGTGTGCGTGCGAAGGAGGAAGGCAAATCTGGGGTACGCGTTCGTGAACTTCACCAGTCCGAGAGCGGTGTGGAAGTTCAAAGTCGCCACCAATAATCAGAGATGGGAGCTATTCTACTCCAGCAAAATCCGTCAGATCGCTACCGCCAAATACCAGGTATATGTATACCTGTATATACAAGTACACATTAGGGTATTTTATACATGTATCTACATTATATGTATTTTATACCAGGGAAAAAAGATTTGACATGAAATCTCACTCTCACACAGTCTCGCCGCTGCTGCGTGAGTAGACGTCAGCTATCATCCTCCCTCACTATTTCAGCTCAATCTCTGTCAACCCTCGCAAGTCGCGACTGTGTTCTCGTCTACTGTTTCTGTATTTCTGTCACTTGGACTATAGTGGCAATTCAAGTGTCCCGCATGGCGTATCTGACTCGCTTTTCTTTCTGCTCGCTATATGATTACATTTCATGTACTTATTGCATCGAACTTTAATCCACATGTAATAGAAATCTATTTTATTAAAAATAAGTAGAATTCGACCTCTAGTAACATGTGCGATAGTTTTTCTCCATCAGCCAATATATCTAGGTAGTTAGGTAGACGGTCCAAATTAATGTCACAATGCAGATCTCTCATACAAGAACGATCGATGTGAGAATGTTTCAAGTGGTGGCAATCTTATATCTAATAGCTTGATTTATTATTCTGCTGCCATGTTTAGACAATGGGGGTGTGTGTGTATGTTTTCTTGCAGAACAAGGGGGGGTTTCAATGCAATGTACTTGTCAGTTTTTCTGATCTAAAATTAGATGAACAGCTCCCAAGGCGTCAAGCTCCGCCTTAGTCTTGTTGGTATTTCAATTTAATAACTTAAACTTCTAGCAAAAAAAAATTTAATAACTTAAGCTGTGTTGTGTCCATTATTTTCATCTTTCATTTAGCAAAGGTTTTATTTGATCAAGGGCATGAAGATACGTATTCTTTTACTATAGTAATTTGGATCATAACAATTCTCACGATGGCATTTGGTTTCCATCAGGGAAAAGAGGCGCTGATGAGGCATTTCGAGAACACAGTGTTTGCATGCGACTCCGATGACTTCCTGCCCATCACGTTCAGCCCGCCACGCGACGGTTCGGGCAAGGCGGTGACCCAAGAGGTCGTAGGCGGGCGCATTGCTCCTAGACGCGCCGAGGCGCAGCTCAATAAGACGGACCGTTTCTAAACATGAACCCTGCTCTTTTTTGGCTAGATCTTGCCGGTGGCAAAATTAGCAAGAATATGTGACTGATGTGACAAGCTCTTTCTATGCCAGTTTCATCATCATGAGCTGAACGAGAAAAGATTGTGTTCAGTCTGAGAACCTTACATTTTGTCCCTGCTTCGTTTTTGGGGGCGTAGGGGTTTTTCTAGTTGGTGGATGAAAATGTGAGGTATTAGGGTTTTGTATAATCACGAGAATAAACCGTGTATGGAGGTGGAGCGTGGCACCTGGACCCCCACACAGATGATGACGGGGGCAGGTGGTGGGGTCCACCTTCTAGAGGATCATGATCTCATTAGGTTAGGTCTTTACTTCATTTTCCTCACAAGATATGTAATGATCTCTCGCTGCTGCGCTACTACTTTGCTAGAGAACTGTGTCTGTGTCTTGGGTAATGTTCAGAATAAGCTCTTCATTGTCTTTGGCCCCCACGTGAGGCTTCGCTTAGAATCAGCACGCAAGCCATGCGCTGTTTAAACGTGAGACAGGACGATCGTTTCGATGCTTGGCATATCAAATGTTCGAGTTTGTGTCGGCAGAGAAGCAGGCGAGTGAAGATGGGACCAATACCTGTTGCGCCTTACCAGCGAAACCGGTAGACCGATCGTGGAAAATAGGAGCTGCTCGTGCCCTTGGAGCTGACGTTCGTGATCAAGAAACGTACTTCGAGGAGAACGCAAGCCCCTGCATCGATCTCGGAGGCCTTCTTGCATCGTTTAAACTTGTTTGGATTGAAAAACAAGGCGATATGAAGTTGATTCGTATGTGATGGCGCCTTGGATTGTGTTTATGAAATGTTTGGGTTTTGTTCAAACGTTAGAAGCGTGCTCGAACTTTGACAATTTGTTGAGAGCGTTCTCTCCTGCGCTTGATCGTTGTTCCATGATTTGTTTTACGTAAACTAAACCCTTGCTCATTGTAGGGACTCTCCACTGAACAGTCTGCATAGGCGGACTACACAGAAGACGGCCAGCCCCCTTGCAGCGGCCTTCGAGGCTCTCGGGTCCTGTTGATTATTTCGTGTTTTCTTATCTTTCGTTAGAATGCCGTTTATAACATTCGATATTATGTTATTGCATGTTTAGCACTTTTGATTTGATCTTCGTTCGCATTAGAAAGTCGTGGGCTGATAGGTCTCAATTTGAAATTCGACCAGTCGCTTGGATCAACAATTGAGCGATCCATGGCATCTCGACTGCCGAGTTTTATCATTAATGCGTGTTCATTTATCATGTCTCACATATTTAGCACGCCTTTAAATGGGAACTCATGAGTGTTGCTTGAGTAAAGATGGCTTCAATGAGCATTAGGTAACACTTTTGCGCAATTTCGTTTAAGTGGATCAACCATGCATCCTCTTTATTTTATTAACTCCATTAACCACGCCATAGAGTTATTTGGGTCAAGAAATGATTAACAAGTTCGTTTTCAGGTAACACTTAATGACTATACAGACGAAAAAAATAGCATCCGCCAAAAGAAATCAAAGTCTAGGCGGTCAATCTGTAACTTTTTTTCTGACCAAGAAAAAATCTGAACTTTTTCGAAGTTAGGAAGCTATTTTGCAATTATTCAAAGTTTGAAGATAGTATGTAAATTTTTCAAAACTCGGAATTTTGCACAAGGGTACCAAATAGATAGGGCTGATCGTTTCCAAGTTTGGTTGGTTCCCACCTTGGAATCGGGAATCAGGTCCGGTTCTCAGTTTGTGGAATCGGGAATCGGTCTATTTCGTCTTGGAATCGGCGATGATATCTTTATTTTTTCCTATTTCTTGTAAGACTACAAGTATTGTTGCATAGTTTAAACTCTCATTTTTTAGTGTTTTGGATTTTTAATCAATGAAAATCTCAATAAAAAACCCTAAAAGTGTGATAAAATATAATCAAGTGTCGTTCACTTGCTAATGAAAAAAAGTATTGATATGGTCCAGGTGGTTCAATCCACACCCAGAATGGGAGCCGGACCAACAATCACCAATTCCAAATTTTAGGAATTAGGAATCAGACCGATTCTCACGAAAACCATCCAAAACCGGTCAATTCAATTTGGTTCCGATGCTCACTCCTAGTGCCAAATTTGAGAAGAACTTTGAGTAATTGTTACTAATGAGATTTTACTTTTTATTTTTTGCATAATCAAAAAACTAACATAATTTGATTTTTTTTTTTGAGATCTGTAACTCTCGAAACTCTATCAACACTCTAAGTGTTGATATGAATCTTACAAATCGGCACTTATATTTTTTTATATATCTGGAACTCCTGAAACTTTCACTGCACTTAAGTATAACATGTAAATTCACACGTACTTTTTTAAAAATTTAAATAGCACTTTATATTTCGACAGAAAAGTACAGAATTACATTTTGCATTTGTTTTCCGTGAGTGCCTTCTTATATGTACATCCTGCTTTTGTTTTAAATGCAAATAAACATGCACTCTTTTTTAGTGAGGTGTCCCTTGACTTACCTACCATGTAACGTTACAAGGTTTTCCAAAAAATTGAATAAGTGGATATTGCTTTTTTATCCTTTTTTGGGTTTTGGACGTCGATTTGTTTTAATGGTATATACCGTAAATCGAAGAACATGTACGGGCAATTAGATTGCGTAACCACTGGGAAGCAAGTGGAGTAGCATGTCAGTCTTTTCATCCCGAAAAGTAGAAACTGCGTAGGAAGTCCTCCCTTCTGCCGCAAAAATTTATGAACTTATGATGCTGACTGCCAATTTTTCGAGTCGCAAAGTCAGGGAGTACCCCAGCTTTGCTGACAGAGACAGTGCAGCGCTTGGGTGGATAGATCGAACTTACGGCTGTACCATTCGTGTTTGTACGTCAAAAATAGATTTTACAAGGATTTATATTACTAAAAATCTCAAATTAATACATTCATAATAAATTTATTTCATATTAATTTTTTTTAATTATAAAAAATCACAAATTGATATACATGTGATAATTTTACCCTCCTTTAGTTTTCGTTAAAATTTATCATCAAATTTCTGAGTTAAATGACACAATGCAATTGATGGGTGAACCAATTTGGGGTTTTACTCTCTATTTGTCACGGGTTTAACAGTTTGTGATTTTTTGTTATATTAATCCAATTTAATGAATGGTAAATTTGTCATAAATGTATCAGTTTGGAGGTTTTTTTTATCAAAAAATTAGGAAAAAATTCCAAATAAGGGCCTGAAATACTCTCATTTTCTCAAATAATGACACGAAGTAGGCATTGTTTCAAATAAGGGCCGGAAGTACTTTCATTTTTTCAAATAAAGGCCTGAAATGACTATAACAGTTTCAAATAAAGGCCTAACCCCGCTGGCCGGTTAAAAGCATTTTCGTCCAAAAATAATTTTAACATATATTTTAGTAAAATTAAATTAAAAATTAGAAAAAAGAGAAAAAAAACAAGCGAGAGGGCAGGGCTGGCTGTCCTCCTGTTTGTGGCCGCCGCCCCATTGTCGATGGGGCGGCGGCAATGGCCGGCGGGGTAGCCGGCCAGAGGCGAGAGCCAACCCTCGCCAGAACTAGGAGAGGATGGCAACCCACCAGCGATGAGGCGGCAACCACAGGCGGCGAGGACTAGCCTAGTCCTCCCGCTTGTTTTTTTTTTATTATTTAAACTTTAGCTTTTTTTCTTTTTTGAATTTTTTTTATGGAAAGAAAAAAAGAAAAAAAAATCAAAAAATATTAAAAGATGAAAATGCCCATGACTCTGGTGAGGTTAGACCATTTTTTTAGACTAACATGACCATTTCAGATCCTTATTTGAAATAAGGTTCACTTCAGGTCTTTATTTGAGAAAATTATAGCACTTCAGGCCCTTATTTGACACAAAGTCCACTTCATACCCTTATTTGAGAAAATGAGAGCACTTCGAGCCCTAATTTGGAATTTTTCCAAAAATTAGTTTGAGATAAATTTGTTACAGGTGTACCAGTTTGGGGGTTTTTTGTGATTAAAAAATTAGTTTGGGGTAAATTTATCATAAAAATATCAATTTGGGGTTTTTTTATGATATTAACCCATTTTACAATAGGGTCTAAGTCGCGTAATTAAAAATAGTACTATACTTTTATCAACATTTTTATAAAATTTATGTACATTAAATAGATATCATTTTTGACTTTATAATGTAACCGTATTGAAAAGCGTCGATTCGCGTAACAAATTTGCCACTCCTTTTGAGCACGAAGCCCTCGATTTTTCTCATTTGTTTAGTTGGGTCGGGACGAAACAACTGCAGTGAAATAGAAAGAATTTAATTAAGCAAAGAAGAAATTGAAATGGAAAAAAATGTACAAATTATCGTGACCAATAATAAACACATTCGAGTTGAAATGGGGTGCTTTCATAAATTCAAACACGGTACAAATTTGCCATAACAGCTAGCAAAGCTAATACAAGTTCACTTTCAGACCGAAAAAAGTGAATGCAAATAAAAGTTTTTACTTCAAAACTTTGCAAAGAAAAAAGAGAATATAAAGGGAAGGATATATAAATATGTATATGTATGATATGCCCTAACCTTGGATTTTGAGAGTTGTTATGCCCCAAATCTGATGCAATACCAGTAAGAAAATATCGTGACTCGACATCGTAGCGGCGTGGACATAGACAAAGGAACCAACGGCGGAAGGTGTTAGGAATTAGGGTTTCGTGCAGTTGCAGCAAAACCCTGAGTTATCTTCTCGGGGGAGTAGGGGGAGGGAGAAGCGACGGAGGAGGCGAAGGTTTGCAGCGTCCCGACAGCCTTAATGATGAGCTTCACGTCTTTCGCGAAACATTCGGCCGCCTCACCTGCCCCCCGCAACACACTCTGCTCTGCATCCACAGTTCCACGCGGATCATGCATGGCTATATCTCTCTCTCTCTCTCGCTCTCTCTCTCTCTGCCTTCGAATCCATGCATTTAATGCTCGTAATCTAATCATTTACTCTATATCTTCCCCCCCTTCTCACGTAACACCCACAGTAGAAGATTATTGCTGAATTTCCCGGTAACTACGTAAATGATTCCTCAATTTTCTAATCTTGAAATTTTAAATTTATTCAATATACTCTATTAACTTTTAATCAATATACAATATCATTCTTAAATTTTTAATATATTCAATGTGATCCTTAAACTTTTGATGCGTATTCAATTTAATCCCTTGACTGTAGGAAAATGTTCAATGTTGTCATTCCAGTATTTCAAGTTAAAAATGTTCAATGTTGTCCTTCCATTAACTTAAGTTTATGGACAATAATGAACATTTTCGTAGAATCTACAGACTAAATTGAACATGTACTGAAAATTCATGGATGATATTGAACAAATTAAAAATTTATAG